TGTGTCATCAACATCAGGTGTGAGTGAAATTCCATCTTGCCCTCCATCTCCTATCGTTGATGATCCTTCAGCTCCATCAACATCAGGTGTGGGCCAAATTCCATCTTGCCCTCCATCTCCTATCGTTGATGATCCTTCAGCTCCATCAACATCAGGTATGGGCCAAATTCCATCTTGCCCTCCATCTCCTATTGTTGATGATCCTCCAGCTCCATCAACATCAAAATTGAATCCATGAAAAAACCTGTGTCATCAACATCAGGTGTGAGTGAAATTCCATCTTGCCCTCCATCTCCTATCGTTGATGATTCTTCAGCTCCATCAACATCAGGTGTGGGCCAAATTCCATCTTGCCCTCCATCTCCTATCGCTGATGATCCTTCAGCTCCATCAACATCAGGTGTGGGCCAAATTCCATCTTGCCCTCCATCTCCTATTGTTGATGATCCTCCAGCTCCATTCAGAATCTGAAAAAAACCTGTCATCATATCAGGTGTGAGGAAATTCCATCTTGCCCTCCATCTCCTATTGCTGATGATCCTTCAGCTCCGTCAACATCAGGTGTGGGCCAAATTCCATCTTGCCCTCCATCTCCTATCGCTGGTGATCCTTCAGCTCCATCAACATCAGGTGTGGGCCAAATTCCATCTTGCCCTCCATCCTCCAGTTTGCTGATGATCTTCAGCTCCGTCATATCAGTTGTGGGCAAAATTCCATCTTGCCCTCCATCTCCTATTGCTGGTGATCCTTCACCTCCACCATCTCCCACCTACCCTCCCTCCTCCAGTTAAAGTAACTCTCTTCCACTATATGCCAGTTGTGGTACTGTACTGTACCACCATTTTAAGGTAACTGTTAAAGTAAAAATAGTTTTATTTACAGTATTTTTGTGTTGTGTTTTTTTTTTTTAGGCTTTACATTGTATATTTGTGTCAAAGGTGTATAAGGCTCACTTTGTCGGACTTACGAACAAATACGATTTATGAACATTCTCCTGGAACGGAACTCTTACTCTTACGGACTTACTGTACTGGTAGCATGAGGCGATACTTTGACCTTACAGAGGTTGCACAAGCAGTCCAACTCCTCCAGGATGGCACATCACTGCATGCCACTGTCAGAAGGTTTGCTGTGTCTCCCAGCACAGTCTCAAAAGCATGGAGGAGATTCCAGGAGACCGGCAGTTACTCTAGGAGAGCTGGACAGGGCCACAGAAGGTCAGTGTTGCCCTGGTCCAAATCTGTGAGGAAATACTTCCAGTCACTATCTGTCATCTCATTAAGAGCATGCCCCCACATTGTTAAGTATGCATACAAGCATGTGGGGGCCAATGGAGTACCATTTTGAGTTGCTGCAATGAAATTTCAGCAAAATAAACCAGCCTGCTGAATAATTTTTTCACTTTGATTTTTGAGGTGTCTTTGAATTTGAATGATCATTTTAATTTCCATCCTTTAATGTTCACTTAATTTTTTTGAGCAGTGTATATATCTACATATACACACTATATTGCCAAAAGTATTGGGCCAGTATTAGGATTCAGGTGTTCTAATCACCTCCATGGCCACAGGTGTATAAAATCAAGCACCTAGGCATGCAGACTGCTTCTACAAACATTTGTGAAAGAATGGGTCGCTCTCAGGAGCTCAGTGTCTCCAAGCGTGGTACCGTGATAGGTTGCCACCTGTGCAATAAGTCCATCCGTGACATTTCCTGGCTACTAAATATTCCATGCTCAACTGTTAGTGGGATTATAACAAAGTGGAAGCAACTGGGAACAACAGCAACTCAGCCACCAAGTGGTAGTATGGGCAGCACAGTGGCTAAATGGTTAGCACTTCCACCTGGCATTACTAGAGTCATTGGTTCAAATCCCAACCACGGCACCACCTGCCTGGAGTTTGCATGTTCTCCCTGTGTCTGCGTGGGTTTCCTCCAGTTACTCCCACACTCCAAAGACATGCTGGTTGGTTAATTGGCTCCTGTCTAAATTGTCCCTAGTATGTGTATGTATGAATGTGAGTTAGGGACCTTAGATTGTACGCCCCTTGAGGGTTAGGGACTGATGTGAATGTACAATATATATGTAAAGTGCTGTGTAAATTGATGGCGCTATAGAAGTACCTGAAATAAATAAATAAGTTGCTCATCACCACCATTAGTAGCATAAAAAAAACCACTAAGAAGCAATTCCCGTATATATACTACAGTTTGTAGGTGCTATCATTTTCATGCAAACCAACCAATATACACGTATTGAGATTTTTTTTATCAAAGACATGCAGCAGAATACATTTTGGCCAAAATGTATGAAGAAATTAGATTTTTTAAGCTTTTATTGGAAACGTTTTTGTCATGTTTCACACGACTGTCATATTGACTGTCATATGCCTTTCAATATTTTCAGTGTTTTGTCTCTGCTCTTCCCTTTCCTTTAGTTTAACTAATGGTGCATAGATAGCTCTCCCCCCTTCCCAGAGATGCATTGCAGTAAGCAGGGGCAGACTGACAACTCATGGGGCCCCCGGGCAATAGGGGATCATGGGGCCCCTGTGTCCTTGTCCAAACTCAAAAAAGCCTATGAAAAAGGCACTAGGGGCATCTCATGGGGCCCCCTACTGACCCCCGGGTCCTCGGGCAGTGCGCGAGTTTCCAAATGGTCAGTCCGCCCCTGGCAGGAAGCCTCATGGCATGGAGCAAGACACAGTGGGGTTGATTTACTAAAGGCAAATAGACTGTGCACCATACAAAGTGCAGTTGCACTCTGCAAGGAATACCCAATCACGTGCAAGGAAAATTGAAAAAAATACTTTTTGCTTGCATATGATTGGATGATGGAAGTCAGCAGAGCTTCTGCTCATTTACTAAGCTCTGGAGCAACTGCACTTTGCAAAGTGCACAGTCTACTTGCTTTTAGTAAATCAACCCCAGTATGTTCTTTTGACCTATGGAATTTCATTGTTGTAAGATTCTCTCAGTTTATGGAATAAACTTCACAAGATCTACAAGATGTCATTCTCATAGAGTCACTGACTGTGGTATCCAACTGAGGTTGAAGTTATCGCTCTCTCACCACAACTGTAAATTACAGAGATCACACTATCAATGCTTAGATTGGACACACAGAACAGTTTTATAGTAAAAAGTAAAAAATATATTTTTGTTTCACAATTTTCAGTCTTTCAGTAGAAAAAAATCCCATTTTTGTTCATCCCTTGTAGGGGACATTATTATTATTATTATTATTATTATATACAGGATTTATATAGCGCCAACAGTTTGCTGAGCACTTTACAATATAACGTGAGACAATACAGCAACAATACAGTTCAATACAAGAGGGATAGGAGGGCCTGATCCTTGGAGCTTACAATCTAGGGGACATGTATATTACCTATAGACTTAGGGGTTGATTTACTAAAGGCAAACAGACTGTGCACTTTGCTCCAGAGCTTAGTAAATGAAGTAAAGCTTGACTTTGCAAAGAATACCCAATCACATGCAAGGAAAAAAAAACTGTTTTTGCATGCACATGATTGGATGATGGAAGTCAAATGAGCTTCTGCTCATTTACTAAGCTCTGGAGAGACTGCACTTTGCAAAGTGCACAGTCTATTTGCATGTAGTCATTCATCCCCTTAGTTCCTTTGCAGCTCTATTGAGCAGGTCTGTCACAGTGCTTCTCTTTGGATTTCTAAGGGGCTCAGGATTGCAAGCTGCTTCAGAAACGGATGTGATAGTTCTGTGTATTTTCTAAAGCACATGATACCTAAGAGAATTCTCACGTTTGGCTGCTGCTGGCGTTCACCATGAGACTCTATGATGTGGGAAAATGCATAAAGATTTGGGTAAGCCATAAGTAAGATTTGCAGAATGGTGAGAGGAGGCTTATTATGAAGGAGTGTAAAGAAGACGCTCGTTAGGGTGGGAGAGGAGTGGGTGCCTAAGGGTGAAGACATCGGAAAGGGTGCGCTTGTAAACAGGAAGAGCCGGGGAGGAACGCGATTAGAGGATGAGCGGGAGTGGCGTGGTACAGGGGGGCTCTGTGTCAGCACAAGCCATCAATGCAGATTAGGTGACACTTGTCACTAAGGATTAAATATGACTCCGTGTGATCGGCCCCCAACCCAACACACCAAAGGGATGTCATAGGTAACTCACGCCGAATGACACAAGGGACATACACACACAGCGTGCCCAGGGGGCGCTATATGGCGCATCTACGGTGCCGCCTCACACTGAGCAATGGCTGTGTAGTATTTTATATATTTTTTTAAAAGAAGTAATTCATTTTGTTTTTACAAGTCAGCAGCTACAAATACTGTACCTGCTGATGTGTAAAATGTTACTAAACCCCAACAGTACAATCAGTCTGTATATGCAGTAAAGCATGCTTGTTATACTCACTGTGGGACCTAAGGGGTTAATCCTCTGCATTGTGTAAAAAGGCTGTTTGATCCTGTCTTCTCTGATCCTCCTCTTCTTCCAGTGCCCCCCCCCCCTCATTATCTCCTGATAAGACATATTATATCACTCTGCACATGTTCAGTTTGGTGTGTATTGCTAGAGATGTTTTTATTTTTCTTGGGAGAGTGCATGTTATCAGCACAGGGCCAATCAGCACTGTCCAGACAGAGATCAGGGGTTCTGCATCCTCTTAGAGCAGAATGAATGAAACTCCTCCTACAAGCTTTAACCAGGGCTCTGCTGGACACTGATAGAAGTCACAAGACTGATATATACCGCTAATGAGAAAAGGTATTTAGCAGTTTACATTTACTAAAATAATTGCATTTCCATGTTGTGTGTACTGTGGGAGACCAGATATAGTGAATGCAGAGTCCGGGGAGACCAGATATAGTTAATGCAGGGTCCAGGGAGAGCAGATATAGTGAATGCTGGGTCCGGGGAGACCAGATATAGTGAATGCTGGGTCCAGGGAGAGCAGATATAGTGAATGCAGGGTCCTGGGAGACCGGATATAGTTAATTGCAGGGTCCTGGGAAACCAGATATAGTGAATGCAGGTCCGGGGAGACCGGATATAGTTATTGCAGGGTCCAGGGAAACTGGATATAGTGAATGCAGGGTCCAGGGAGACCAGATATAGTGAATGCAGGGTCCGGGGAGACCAGATATATTGAATGCAGGGTCGGGGAGACCAGATATAGTGAATGCAGGGTCCGGGGAGACCAGGATATAGTGAATGCCGGGTCCGGGGAGACCAGTATATAGTGAATGCCGGGTCCGGGGAGACCGGATATAATGAAATGCAGGGTCCGGGGAGACCGGATATATTGAATGCAGGGTCTGGGGAGACCGGATATAGTGAATGCAGGTCCGGGGAGACCAGATATAGTGAATGCAGGGTCCAGGGAGAGTGGATATAGTGAATGCAGGGTCCGGGAAAGACCAGATATAGTGAATGCAGGGTCCTGGGGAGACCGGATATAGTGAATGCAGGGTCTGGGGAGACCGGATATAGTGAATGCAGGGTCTGGGGAGAGTGGATATAGTGAATGCAGGGTCTGGGGAGACCAGATATAGTGAATGCAGGGTCCTAGGAGACAAGATATAGGCAGGGTCTTAGACCAGATATAGTGAATGCAGGGTCCGGGGAGACCGGAGATATAGTGAATGCAGGGTCCGGGGAGACCGGATATAGTGAATGCAGGGTCCGGGAGACCAGACACATAGTGAATGCAGGGTCCGGAGAGACCAGATATAGTGAATGCAGGGTCCTGGGAGACCAGATATAGTGAATGCAGGGTCCGGGGAGACCAGATATAGTGAATGCGGGGTCCGGGGAGACCAGATATAGTGAATGCAGGGTCCGGGAGACCGGATATGGTGAATGCAGGGTCCAGGGAGAACAGATATAGTGAATGCAGGGTCCGGGGAAACAGATATAGTGAATGCAGGGTCCGGGGAGACAGTATATAGTGAATGCAGGGTCCGGGGAGACCGTATATAGTGAATGCAGGGTCCGGGAGACCGGATATAGTGAATGCAGGGACCTGGGAGACCAGATATAGTGAATGCAGGGTCCGGGGAGACCAGATATAGTGAATGCTGGGTCCGGGGAGAGACCAGATATAGTGAATGCAGGGACCTGGGAGACCAGATATAGTGAATGCAGGGTCCGGGGGAGACCAGATATAGTGAATGCAGGGGGAGACTAGATATATAGTGAATGCAGGGTCCGGGGAGACCAGATACAGTGAATGCAGGGTCCGGGGTTTAGTTACACTTTAACATATGAGTGCAATTCCAAAAGTAATTTTCAGTGTTAAAGCTGAAGTTCAGGTATGGCAATGTGTATTTAGTCACATAGTTCCAGCTTGGACCAAAGTAACAATGTATATACCATACCTGTGGGTTCCTTCTAGAAGCTGAAAATCACTGTCTGTTTGCCTGTAGTGCATTAACCCCATTGCATTACCTTCTCACTGCCTACTTTAACCCCTTGAAGCCTGCACTAGTATCCATTGAACGTACTTGCAGAGTGCTTGCAGAGCAGCCACATTCACTTGAATAGATTGCGTTCAGCAGGCACTATACCCACGGAAAGTGTCACGGGGTATAATATCTGTCGTGGCAGGGAAGCAAAGCATCATGACCGTGCCATGCGCCGCTGCCTTTGCAGGTAAAGGGGGTAGGGGTGAGGTAAATGAGTGGCCTATCTGCAGCTGTATGGACTGCCTACTGTAACCTCCCTAGCGGTCTGATTATGTCCATATTTCTGTGCTCAAAGCGGTACATATTTTGCATGGAAATATGTATTTTTTTATTGTAGGCCTGTAGTTTCTTAGGAATAACTCACTGAAATCTGTCCGGACAAGAGTCTAGTAAACATTCCCGGGTATGATAAAACTTGAAACACAAAATCATAAATTATAATTTAATAAATAATCATAAAAATTAATAATATAATAAATTTAATTCAATAATATAAACAAACCAAAAACACTGAACATTTGAAATATAGCGTCAAGTTCGCACATCGCTGAGCAAAGTCGCAAAATCATTTTCAGTGTCTGATGAGGAATTTCCCCCACAAATCATTATCACTCAATTCTGCAAGTGGTTCTGATTTACTATCGCTGTTCTCTAGCCGGTCTAAAACCGCTTTTGACCTAAAGGGACGCTTTTTGGACGCCATGGACGTTTCTCAGTTTCCAGGCAGAAAGAACAGTAAAATGCAGGCAGGGCGCCGGACAAAGCACTCGGGACAAAATGTATGTGAAATGGTTTGATACAGTAATGTTATACTATGTGATTTTAGTGTATTTAGTGAATGTCACTTTTACAATTTTTTAAATTTCCTGCCAGTTCCATCCCCTGTACGTCCCGACGTCGCAGGGAACGGAACCCAGAAGACAGATGCCGGCATCGGCCGGAGGACAATACAGGGGACACTGCAGGAGGGACATCGCGGGAGCGCAGGACAAGGTAAGTGCAGAAGAGATCGCAGAGCAGCACTGCATGGTATTCCCGAGTGTAGTTCGGGGTTACCGCTTGTGGTGCTGAAACTTTACCCCGAGCTACACTCGGGAATACCGCCAGGGAGGGTTAATCCCTCCTCCACCCCACCTTTAGCTGCAAAGGCAGCGGCGCATGGCAAGGTCATGATGCTTTGCTTCCCTGCCATGGCAGATATTATACCCCGTGTCACTTTCCGTGGGCATAGTGCCTGCTGAACGCGATCTATTCAAGTGAATGTGGCTGCTCTGCAATTACGTTCAATGCATACTAGTGCAGGATTCAAGGGTTAAAGTAGGCAATGAGAAGGTGATGAGAAGGTGATGAGAAGGTGATGAGAAGGTGATGATGAGAAGGTGATGAGAAGGTGAGAGAGGTGAGCTGTTAATGCACTCCAGGCAAACAGACTGGGCACTTTGCACAATGCAGTTGTACTCTGTAAGAGCAGTTGCTCCAGAGCTTAGTAAATGAGCAGAAACTCTGCTGACTTCCATCGTCCAATCATGTGCAAGCAAAATGCTGTTTTTTTATTTTCCCTGCATTTGATTGGGTATTCTTTGCAAAGTGAACCTTCACCTCATTTACTAAGCTCTGGAGTAACTGCACTGTGCGAAGTGCAAGGGCTATTTGCCTTTAGTAAATCAACCCCAATGCCTCCTCACTGCCTGTCAAGTGCTCTCTGAAGAGTGAATTAACGGTGGATCACTCTTCAGAAAGCACCATTAGTATGAGCCAGCCCTTAGAATTGACACAATCATGCAAATTCTAGGCTGTGTGCAAAAATGTTTAACGCAGATCTTCCCCTGCTTTTAGTTTACGACTTGCTACAAAGTCTGATCACTGGGGCAGAGGAGACTGAAGAAATGTTTATTCCTGCCTGCAGCAGACTGATGACATCATCTCAGTGTAGGCAAAGTTACAATGTTCAATCTGATCACTGGGGGAAAAGAGACTGAGGAAATGGCTGCAGCAGACTGATGCCATTAACATAGGCAAGGTTACAATGTACAGTCTGATCGGTGGGGGGAAGGAGACTGAGGAAAGGCCTGCAGCAGACTAATGACATCATCTCAGCACAGGCAAAGTCACAATGTACAGTCTGATCGCTGGGGGAAAGGAGACTGATGAAATGGCTGCGGCAGACTAATGACACTATCTCAGCGCAGGCAAAGTTACAATGTACAGTCTGATCGCTGGGGAAAAGGAGACTGAGGAAATGGCTGCAGCAGACTGATGATATCAACATAGGCAAAGTTACAATAGGCAAACAGTCTGATCAGAGGGGGAAAGGAGACTGAGGAAATGGGTGCAACAGACTAATGACATCATCTCAGTGTAGGCAAAGTTACAATGTACAGTCTGATCACTGGGGGAAAGGAGACTGAGGAAGTGGCTGCAGCAGATTAATGACATCATCTCAGTGTAGGCAAAGTTACAATGTACAGTCTGATCGCTGGGGAAAAGGAGACTGAGGAAATGGCTGCAGCAGACTGATGACATCAACATAGGCAAAGTTACAATAGGCAAACAGTCTGATCAGGGGGGGAAAGGAGACTGAGGAAATGGGTGCAGCAGACTAATGACATCATCTCAGTGTAGGCAAAGTTACAATGTACAGTCTGATCGCTGGGGGAAAGGAGACTGAGGAAATGCCTGCAGCAGACTAATGACATCATCTCAGCTTAGGAAAAGTTACAATGTACAGTCTGATCGCTGGGGGAAAGGAGACTGAGGAAGTGGCTGCAGCAGACTAATGACATCATCTCAGTGTAGGCAAAGTTACAATGTACAGTCTGACCGCTGGGGGAAAGGAGACTGAGGAAGTGGCTGCAGCAGACTAGTGACATCATCTGAGCGTAGGCAAAGTTACAATATACTGTCTGATCGCTGGGGGAAAAGAGACTGATGAAATGCCTGCAGCAGACTAGTGACATCATCTCAGTGTAGGCAAAGTTACAATGTACAGTCTGATCACTGGACTGGAGTACACGATTTTCTGTGTATTAATAATGCTTGGCTTTCATTTGAACACTGATACTGTTGCTGTACAAGGAGGCACGCCAGGAATGTGTTCATGCAGATTTGTAAAGTTGCTACAAAAGTCCACATTAAGTCAAACCTGACGGGAGCCGCAGCATCGTGTAAAACCAACTGTGAGCGTCGTCGCAGCAAGTCCCATTCTTCATCTGGGGAAAGACAGACTGAACCGCCAGAGGGGACAAGAGGCAGAGACACCGAGGCGGAGGCCGAGACTACATCTGTTCTCTTCAAAGACGGCCTGTCTGCCGCTAAGCTGTTTGTTTGCTGCAGAGACTCCGATCAACAAGGATTACCACTTCCGAGGAGGAAGATCTCACCTACATGAGACCCATCCTCAAATACCATTCACAATGTATGGCGCAACTCCGGCCTCAATGACCCACATGGGGAAAGGAGGACACCAAAATGTCCTGGGGGGTGTCATTTGGGAAGAGAGTGCACCATACTTCAGCAAGAAATTACAGCGATATTAAACCCAAAACCAAAAATATAGTATGGGGGGGGATTTTTTTTTATCAAAGACATGTAGAAGAATATATTTTGGCCAAAATTTTTAAAAAAATTAGATTTTTTTTAAGTTTTTTATTGGAAATATTTTATAGCAGAAAGTAAAAAATATTTTTTTCCCCACAATTCTCAGTCTTTCAGTAGAAAACAAATCTCATTTTTGTTCCTCCCTATAGGGGACATGTATCTTACCCAGGGGCGGACTGACCATTTGGAAACGCGGGCACTGCCCGAGGGCCCGGGGTCAGTAGGGGGCCCCATGAGATGCCCCTGGTACCTTTTTCATAGGCTTTTTCGAGTTTGGGCAAGGACACAGGGGCCCCATGATCCCCTATTGCCCGGGGGCCCCATGAGTTGTCAGTCCGCCCCTGGACCTTACCTCTAATTTTAGGGGTTCATTTACTAAGGGCAATAGACTGTGCACTTTGCAAAGTGCAGTTGCTCCAGAGGTAATGAACAGAAGCTCTGCTGACTTCCATCATCCAATCATATGCAAGCAAAAGTGCTTTTTTTTCCATTTTCCTTGCACATGATTGGTGAAGCTTTATCTCATTTACTAAGCACTGGAGCAATTGCACTTGTAGAATGCAACTGCACCTTGTATGGTGCACAGTCTATTTGCCTTTAGTAAATCAACCCAATATTGCAGCTTACTAATCATTAGATGGGGTGGCTGCATTAGTTTTCCTTTTTTTTTTTTTTTTTGCTTTTTCCTCTTTGTTTTCACCTGATGACACCTCCTCTCTTAGCCTTTTTTCACACTATGGGGGTTTATTTACTAAAGGCAAATAGACTGT